TTCTATATCTTCATTTTTTACCTCAATAATAACTCCAAAATAATCTATACAGCTCTAACTCATTCTTTTCAATTATTTGAACCATATTCCATGGTTGTAGATAGCACAGTTTATTCAGCCCTTTACGTATGTAGTTTTTCACTTTCTTTTGTGGCATATTGTTTTGATCATTGATCTGGGTCTAAGTATTTTTAATTTTGCCTGATCACTTTCCAAAAAGGCTGAATATTTAATTTTCCTTTCAGCTACGCATTAAAAGTATTTTTTTTCTAAACCTTGAGTATCAATGAATATTACAGATTTCCACTTCTTGACAGTCTGATGGGTTTAGACTGCTATGTAATTTTTATTTTAATTTCTACTTCTTTAACCATTATAAATGTCAGTATCATCTCGTATTCATTAGCCTTTTGAATTAGCTTTATTTAAGTGTTCATTCACACCCTTTGCCTAGTGCTCAGATAGGTTTGTCTGTTTCGTTCTTATTGTACAGTATAGATATCAACCTTGTCTGTTATCTATGTAACTTTTTTTTCTAAGATCTATCATTAATCTATTAGTTTCATTATTCCTCTTTCCCTGCAATTTTCTTTAATAGCATCTGGGTTTCCAGCTACAGTTAAGAAAAGTCTTTTGGGCTCCCAGCAAATTGCTTGATTATCTTTCAATATTATGATTCTTTTACTTTTTATGTCTTTGATTCACTGGAATTCATTTTTACATATGGCCTAAGACTGGAGTATAATTTTATTTTCTGTGTCAAGAGGTTTTAATACTCCGTCCTTTTCTTGCTAAATTAAACTACTACCTTTGCCTCTTATATACAGAAATATATTTCTGAAGTCTCTTCATTCCAATGATCTTTACCCATTCTTATGCTAATATCATATTGACATAATTACACTGGCCCTATCTCATGTTCTAGTATCTGATAAAACTAGTCCTGACACCACTTTCTCAGCTTTCTTTGCTATTCAGATTTTTTTCTCCAAAATCTTGCTGATGAATCACTTTAGATCATTTAAATCATTTCATCTGGGCAATCCAGAGTGAACAGTAAATGAATGACTAAAATACCTAATGAACAAATAAATACTCTCTTGGATTATATTAATTTTGTATTTTAAGTTTGAGATCATTTGCATTTTTCACTGTTAATCTTCCTCTCTTCCACATGGATGCATTTAATTTTGTTCAGATCTTGTTTGGGATCTCTTAATAATCGGAATCTTTCAGTAAAATTGTCTTCTTGCATACAGATCCTATAACTTCACTGTTTATTCCAACATATTTTAGAATTTTGCTATTGGTGAGAATTATGAAATTTTCCCATTATGCTGGGCATGGTATCATACCCCTATAATCCCAGCAACTCAGGAGGCTGGAACAGGAGGATTGCAAGTTCAAAGCCAGACTCAGCAACTTAGCAAAAACCTAAGCAATTTAGAAAGACAGCGTCTCAAAATTAGATAAAAATAAAAAGGGCTGGGGATGTGGCTTAGTAGTTAAGCATCCCTGGCTTCAATCCCCAATCCCCAGTACCAAAAAAAAAACAAAGAAGAAAGAAAAAATTTTCCATTTCTTTGTGTAGGTAGATATGTCTAGAATAAAAAAGAGCAACTGTGTACAATGATGACATATTCAACCAACAATCAAATTATCTTATAAATATGAATCGGTTTGTTTTAAAGTCTGCTAAATTTCCTGTGCATACAATTATCTGATCAACAAATACAGATCACACTTTCACTTATATTAGATATATGCTTATGTTAAATAGGAAAATAGTTCCAAACTCTATTATTTCATACAACATTAAATGATTTAGACTATATTTAATAAAGAAAACCTTCACTTCTGTTCTTAATACCACTGCAACTCTCCATACATTTCTGAGGATTAGTTAAAATAATCATATGAACACAACAAAATTAGAAGAAATGAGTTTTTCTTAGCAGCTAAAAAAGGTACAAAAATCATCTCTCTCTTATTTGCTACTGCACTGTAGATGCTTGCTGTCAAAATACCAACCAGAAAAAAAAAAAACAAAACCAAAAGCTCAACGAGTACTTAGAATTTAATAATTTATTATTACCTTCAAAAACTATTGCTTGGTCACTGAATAAAACCTTGACTATTAAAGACTGAGTATGAAGCTAATGTGGATGGGCCATTTTCTTTCATTAGTTGTCATAATTAAATTTCTCAGAAGCACAACCTAACATAAATACTAAATATGTTCAGTGAACTCACACACACACACACTTTGGCAAAAATGTATTATTCAAAGTAGTAAATGCAATGTTTATTTTGTAAGACAATTCAAGCAGTTCTTGATGAATTAGGAACTATTAATAATATTTGAAGAGAAAATTCAGAGCTAGAAATTGTTCTACTTCATGAAAACTCCCAACTTATAAAATTTCATTAATCTTACATTCTTCACTTTTATCTCAAAGTGTTTATTTATCGATGACTTTAACATGTAGTGATACTTATGTAGGAGCCTTGCTTTTGATGTGGCTCCCAGAGTGCAATGACATTTTAACTCCGTGGCCATTCCCGTTATGCACACATGCATGCACTGGGTACTTCTTTTTCATTCCACAAGCTAATTATAAATGAACATACCACATTACTTACTTCTCTTCAGACAAGAAGACTAACAAGACTTCATAAAATATAAGGGCTTAGATGAATTTAATTGACCTCTCCTAATAAGCAAAGCAGTATGAATTCTATGTCAAGTGACTGTATTCCAAAACTTAATTTCATAAATAAGTCCATAAATTTAACTTAGAAATGATTTTTATTCTAAATTTTCTATACTTTTCATTTTGGTGTTTTTATAGTTCTAGGCATATACAGTAATACTGTTAGCATATTTCTACTATTAAATGGGAAATTCTTCCAGGATACCTACACGATTCTCTATGGTAAAAGCAAAATAAATCCTCAGTTACCATTCTTGCATATTCTATTAAAAATTATGATACAAATTGCTGTGATTGAGAAATATTTTAGGGGTGGAGATATAAGTCAGTGTTAGAACACCTGCCCTGTATGCACAAAGCCCTGAGTTCAATCCACAGCACTACAATAATAATAATAATAAAGAAAAGACACATTTTATTAATATGGCCTATACTAAAAATAATGACATTTCATTATAAGGTTTCTTCTCTAATTATTTCAGAAGTCTGATAAAAACTTTCTTAGCAGTAATTTTTCATTTATTCTTAAATGGAGTTAAAACTATTTTGGTTTAAATCAGAAACACTGTATGGTATTACTTGTCATGTTTGATTAGAGGGTCAAAAGTCTGATAGAAAATCTTCACAACTACAGTACTAAACCATAATTCCATGAGAGCAAGATACAGTTTGTTAAATTTTATTCTACATAGTACCAAAAGATCTTTTCATTTGGAGCTCAAGAATTATTTCACTGTTTTACATACAACATAACACAAATTACTAAGAAATTAATACACTATCATATTTCTTAATCACACAGTGATTCACAATGAAATTCAGGTTTAATTAATTATTTGTCTGAAAAATGACTAAGAAAAATATTTGGATGATTTATTTTCCTCAACAGTGGAAAGATTTAGTATACACTCACATCAAACAGTGGTCAACACCTAGGATATTATAAGCCAACTTAGAAAATCAATATAAAAAAATCAACAAAGCTCAATAGAATATTGAATGATTTTAAATGAGACTAAGAAATATACTGGAACAATGTTGGTAAAAATGTAACCTGACGATTACTAACAATTTTTGTGTTGAAGAATTGTTGAAATGATCTATATATAGAAGACTAATTTTAGAAGAAGCTGGAAAATGGAAAGCATATACTTTCAAACTTCACTTATTTGCCTGCCTTCTTTATTGTATACTCAATAAAGGAGAAATTCTTTAAACAAAAAATGAAAATAACTGCTTGAAATATATTTGCCCTACTCTAGCTCCTTATACCTATAATGTGCCTACAAGCCAACCTAAATAAAACTTTGCCATTATCAGTACTCTATTATCAGAATTATTTCAGAAAAAATGGCTTTTTTTCTTATTCGATTATCCTTGTTTCTGAATCTCCCAGGCCCATTTTATTTATTTCTTAGCTTCACTTAGTTCCTTAGATTAGTATATTGTTCTTGGACTATCTTAGCTGTGAGCTTCTACTCCTTTACAATACTACTTAAAAGCATATGGTTACCATGCAATGGTTCCTGACACTTGGATTCAAGGATAAAAGATATCCTATCACCAAGTTCTACCCCAAACTCTAGGATATGCCTGGCAGCATAGGAAAACCAGACAAGTGACAGATAAAACAATTTCAGTAAGAGGAAATTTTGCCTGAAAATGTTACAGGAATATTTACAGGCTAGATAAGTTAGATAAACAAAGTGGGATTATCCACTTTGACTTCCAAAAGTTTTGAATAAGAGTCTTTCCAAAACATATTCAAAGTTGTGACTAACTATATATAGTAATGAGGAAAGAAAGTAAAGGCCCTACTTTTTAATATTTTGCCGGAGAGAAAATTTAATACTGACATACAAAGCCAAGATAAAGCGACTTTCTTTAGCTGGAAAAATACAGAAAAGTATTTCATTAAGATTGGTAAGAAAGTCTCACTTGGTAATCCAATAAATAACAGAGAAGAGATAAAATACACTAAAATTTAGAGTTTAGGAAACACCAACTTTTCTGGGTAATCAAATGCTAATGAAGAAAAATGATATGCACAAGCAGTTCTAAATTACATGCAAAAGTAGGTAAATGTATTCCTTAATACAGGTGAATCTGTAAGTTTTTTTAATGTATTACTTAATATAAGCATATATTAATACTAAGCAATACATTAAGAACTTTTATAATCTAATAAAAATAATAACTCTCTGAACTACATCATTTATGAATTCAGGAAGGAAATATAATACCAAAATATTGCTACAGAAAGTAAAAAGAAATTTTAGGGTCAAGATCCTTTTCTGTTCATCAGCATGACTGGGTGTTCACACTTGTTGCTGTATGAGAGGTGTCTCCCTTGTTATAGCACTGGCATATGACTTGTCTGATGTGAAAAGAAGAATGAATAATACTTTAGGGTAGAAATAAAAGAGAATTCACACAAAAATAAATATAACTTAACATCCTTACTTAAAGCTATGATGTACCAGATTAAGTTTAGAAAGAATAAAATTCAACCAATAGATTCAACCAATGTCAGTTATCAATTTCTTTCTTTCTCAGATCCAAATTCACCCTTCAAGCCTGTTCTAAAAAAACAATGCTGGGCCCTTAATGTATTTTAACTTTGCCAGATGGCATGATAATAAGCTTTGTCTACAGTGGACAATAGATAGGAAGGCTCTCTCCTTCTTGTTCAGGCTACATGGTTTTCTTCAGGGCCAAACGCCTACAAACCATGGCTGTCGCCACCTATTTTTTCCACTTTTCAAGCAGGTAGTGGTTCTGCATAAGAGAGCTCCAGACAGCTCAGGTCTGCACCTCAGCCCAGGTCACTGCTTCCTGTACCATCTCCATATCCTTATAAGTACACATGCTGTAATACCTGTGGACCAGGTCACCTGGAGTTGCTCTGACCCAAACCTGTACATAGAAGTATGCTGGGTTCCTGATGCCTTAACTTCTGCATATCCAACTCTCTGTGTGCCACTCATCAACTTTAGTGTACTTATTCTCCAAAGAGATGTTCCTGTAGGTCAGATGCCTGTGGACCAGCTCTGGCCTAGTAACCTAATGGACTTCTATGCCATCTAGAGGGTTGGAACTGTATCTTTTAATGAAAAATCTGCCCTTCCAAGAAAAAGTTAGTTTCCCCTTCCTTAGATAAAACTCCCTCACGCTTAGATTACCTTTAGAGTTTGCTGTCTTTTATAGTTACTCTTATTATTGCATAGTAAGTTTATAAATATACCCTGTTTAAATGATTGTGTGTTGGGAAACAATTTTTCTCTGGATTTCTTGGCATGCCTGCATGATTAGGGCTTTCTGAGCAAAGGAAAATTATAAACTGTACTAATGATAAGTCTACCTCCCTGGAGATATTCCAAAATAACTTAAAAAAAGCCTCTGTTCTTCCTAGAAACTTGCTTTTAGCTTACTTTTAGGGTAATAAATTTAAAGATGCCATTTTCCTCCCTAGGGAGGATCTGTTAATCACCGAATAAGATAAGGATTGTGTTGGTTTTTTTCTTGGCTGGGCAGAAGTGCCAGCAACCCAACATAAGCTTCCAATGTCATAAATTTAGGGTCCTTCTCCTGTTACCCTGGTATATATACAGGGTAACTCCAGGTTCTTAACACACTGCCAAATATTGAGATTGAATGTTGGGGGACCAGCATTAAAATGCTCTGTGAATGATAAACTCTGTTCTGTGACATGTAAACCTTGTGTTTCCTGTCAGATTGTATATATGTGTGTGTGTGTATATACACACACACACACACACACACACACACATAAATCTAACACTGTGTATTTTGCCTTCTAATTGGACCTAGACAGATAGAGATCTATAAAAAGCCATCCTAGAAAAATGAATTATGTGAGAAAGACTAAGAATGTTATGAATAAAGTGATTAATAAATTGAAAAGATAATCCCAAACTTCTACTCATCTAACAGTATGAGCTATATGCCTACCAAGCATCAAATACTGCCCTCAGTGTTAAGATGCAAAGGTAAATGAGAATTATTTTCACATATCTCTGATCATTCCCAGAAATAAAGAGCATTAAGTTTTCCCTGCATCCTTCCAGAGGCATGCTGTGTGTATGTGATGTTTATATTTATAGACTTATACAAAAACCTCAACACATAAACAATCCCAATGTTATTACAACCCTACTACTTTTTTCTCATGGTGATGATCTTCATTTAGATCACCTATCCTTAGATTTATTATTCGAGAAATCATAATATAACTGAAATCCCTTTGTAATTTTATGACAAAGCATTATTTCACTCAGTGGTAATCAACACAGAAAACCTGCTATCTTCCAAGAAAGTGATAGGAAAGCTATGATTTAAAACAATTTTTCCAAAATGCTATTATTCTAAGATGTAAACATTAAAATCAACTCAAGGATAACTAAATTTTCAGTCAGAGAGATCAGCATAGATATTCCTTTGCTCCTAAGAAGATTTATTGGGCTCTTGTATTTCAATAAAAAGTATATAAATTTAATGATAACTATTTTTATTAATTTAAGATTGCAAATGAAACTTTTCTTCATTAGAAAAACTGGTAAAATTTATCAGAAAGCTATGGTGAAACCTACAGGGATGTTAAAGTAGATGTATTTATTCCCTGGATGCTAACTGAGTCAAATACTCCTTAATGGGAATTATTGTCACACTAAAGAACAAGTAAAGAAACCATAGGGAAATACTTATTAGGCAAACTTCTCTATTAGGCTATTTTCCTTTGAAACCAAAGAAAAACTCAACAAACATTTATTCAGCAGGTAGTTCTCACTTTGATGAATTTAATAGCGATCTGTTTCTTACTGAGAAAATGTTATCTTTTAGGTTTTATAACTGTTCCAACTATTCTTACGTAACAAATCACCCCAAACTTATGGGCATAAAACACAAGCCATCTTATTATGCTCACAGGCTCTATGAACCAGGAATTCACAGGGAGCACATTGAGGATAGCTTATTTCTAATCTACAAGGTCTGGGCCCTCAAAGCAAGAGTCTCAAAGGCTGACTCTGGGAGCTGGGGTTGAGACATCACCTGAATCATCCCACAGTTCATTCACTCACATGTCTGGTGACTGACCTTGGAAGGATTTGAAGACTAGGATTGCTGATCTGACACTTGACACTTATCTACAAGGCTTGGCTTCCTAACAATAAGGCATCCTCAGAATACTGAGGCTGCTCAGGGCTCTAAGCAGGCCAGTGTTCAACAAACAAAGCAGAAGTAAGCATTGCCTTTTATGACCTATATTAGAAGAAAGTCACATGGCATCACACTGAGGCATTCTGCTTAACAGAAGTAAGTAAAAAGAGTGTTCACATTCAATAGGAGAGTTTGAACCTAACTCTCAATGGGAGGGTGGCAAGTTCCAGATTATGTGGAACAAGAGATTGCTGTGGCCACCTTTGGAAAATCTAATCTGCTATAATAACTTAATATTCACTAAATGATTTGTTTAAAACAGTACAATAAAACCAGGTGTGGTGGCATACACACCCAGCAACTTGGGAGTGCAAGGTAGGAAGACAGCAAGTTCAATACCAGACTTGGCAACTTAGCAAGACCCTCAGCAACTAAGCTAGACCTTGTCTCAAAATGAAAAATTAAAGAACTGGAGATGTAATACAGTGACAAAGCACCCCTGCATTCAATCTCTAGTATTGAAAAACAATAGTACAATAAACAGCATTATATTATTTAATTGGATTTATTTCTGAACACTAGTTTTCCAAAATCGATTATATTAAAGCTTTAGAAACAGAAATGAAAACTCAGTAGATATTATTTTATGCAATATCTACTACTTTCCTGTGAAAATAGGTGTTACTATTATTATCATCATCTGCATTTTAACTGACGAGAGTTGAATTCAGAAGCTGAATAATTTGCCCAGAATAAGTGCTAAAATTGTGATAAATCCAGACATGTGTTTTCAAAGTCCTGGCTCTTTCCACTGTACAGGCAGTCAGCACTTCACAGTTAAACGAAGCTCACACAGATCTTGTATAGATCAGAACTGTGCAATGCAAAGACTGCCTGTATCTTGCTTTATATAGATATAAACTTTTCAAGAATGAATTTGTTAGCTGTTCTAGGTAAGAACTGTCTATATATCTGAATATGTGACCTAAATATATAACAAATATATTTGAGAGCAGTCTCTGCATAAAGGTAATACAATGCTGGATATCTATATTCTTGCTTTCAGTAAGTGTTTAACTGAAGAATAAAATCTAGGGGAAAAAATTCCAGATCATTGTAAATAATGAGCACTTGTATATATATATATACTGGAGGAGTTTTGTTAGTTGCTAAAAAAAAAGTAAATATGATCCTCTTATTTAAACTCTTAAGGGTCTGTATTTTCTCTTTTGTGAATAGAAATGATATTTATCTTTTTCTGGTATTCATTTCTTTTAATTTACTCTTCATATTATGATATAATATTTATATAATTACATATTACATACTTTATACTACATTATTTCTTTTATACTACTTTACAGTTCTTCAAAATTGGAAAATGTGACTTCTTGTACTACATTTATTTTGTCACCTTCTGCAATGCCTAACATGTTAGAGTCTTGTGTTTCTTGAACTGGATAGAAGCCACAATGGACAGTTATACCTTCTTCGGAGCTTAACACCATACCATGCTTCCCCCAAACTCATTTTTGTAATTAAAAGGAAATCAATCCACTCATATGTTTTTTTTTCTTTTTTAAAAATCTAAAGTTATAATTTTAAAGAAAAAAATCAATGTTTCAATGAAACATATGATATATGTGTGTATATAAAGATATAGATCAACATAAATTTTGCTCTTTTATAATGATCAGTTCCATCTCTGATACTGGGATTATCTGAGAAATCTTCAAACAGGAATATTTTCAAAAGGGTGAAAGAAAACAGTTTCTAAAATATAACAAATTTGTTTAAAAATAATACTTTAAGAGGATATGGGTTGGCAGGGGACAGTGGCCCATGTCTGTAATGCCAGTGGCTCAAGAGGCTGAGGCAAGAGGATCTTGAGTTCAAAGCCAGCCAGCAAAAGCAAGGCACTAAGCAACTAAGTGAGACCCTATCTCTAAATAAAATACAAAATAGGACTGGGGATGTGGCTCAGTGGTTGAGTGCCCCTGAGTTCAATCCCAAGTATACTATGCCCACCCCACAAAAAAGATGGTATGGGTTTTCCACAGCTTTAAAAGCAAATTTTTTTTGTGTGTGAAAGTACAATGATTCCTGGGATTTTTCCCCTCTTATGAAAGATATCACAAATTAAGGGAATATTCTAGTTATCTGAAATTATTTTAGATAATTTTATATAATTCTTATGTAATTCGT